AAAGTGTGATTCAAACATTAACATAGTGTTAGTTTTTAACCAGCTGTTGTTATTATTTAGCCAGTTTTTGTCTGTTGTCCTGAGACGAGAAGGTCACTGTCTAATCTGCTGACAATATTTAATTCCAATCCATCAATCAGCATGTCTTAAGGAGCTCAAAAAGAAAGCGACTGGACTTTTCTTTCTCGAAGACATTTCACCTCTCATCTGAGAGGCCTTTTCAGTTCCAATGCATGTTTCTGTGTTTTAGAGCCCTGACTTGAGTTCAGGAGATGATGCTTGATGATGGTGAGGATGAGGATGAGGATGACATTTTAATAGGATGCCAGTTTTTATTTCTTTGGTTGAGGAATCTTTCTCCTACAACAGAACATAGATGTGATGCTTCATATCTTGAATATGGAGGAGCAGACATGAATTAAAATGTATCTCCACAGTACGCAAATGCCTACGGGGACTCTCTTCTCTTCTACATTTGGTATTTTACATGTGGCCCACATAAAACGTGATTAGTCTGATGAAAGAAGTCCTTCCCGGCCACTGCATTCAAATATAGTGGGACAACATTGCTGCTTCCACAAACTGCAAACCCACTGATGTGTATTTTTAATAGATTAATTATATGTTTGTTGGAAGACGTAATTACACACCAACCTCCTATATATTTCGGAGTACACTATGGTTTTTTAGCTATTAAATAGCGTAAAATAAATTACTGACTTCACATTTAAAGGTGGTGTAACACTACTGCTGTGTATGTGGAGAAGATGTAGACATTTGTACACAACCCCATGACAACCATTAAAAAAATTAACAATTAAAAAAAAAAATCAAAGAAAAATGTATTTAATTCCTTCTCCACAGGAATCTGTAACTCTCAATTTGTAAGACCTTCTGATTAGTAGACGGCCTGCTTCAACATCTAAGGCACAGCCGCATAGTGTAGTTGCATGTTATCACCTTACTGAGATGCTTTGTTACTTTTACTCCTTTAATTTAGCACTCCTCAGTAGATCTAAGAGTGTGTAGATAACTCTGTAAATCCTGTAAGCAAGTAGAGCTGTCTTGTCACGAGTGATTTTTGTGATTGTTTGCTGTGACAGATCTGTAAATACCTTTTATATGTAAATCATGGAGTTTGGCAAGTGTCAGCTTATCTATATTTACAGCTCCAGTAGGGAAATGTATGCATTCTCATTTACACATTTGGCTACATGTTCTAAAAATAAATAAATAAATTAAAAAAAACCCCACACATTGCATTACCACTTGAAGAGAGGCTAGTCTTTCCCGATGTTTGCTACAGAGGTTGCATTTACTGTTTTCCACAGACACTTTTCCTTAAAAGAAAGATATTTTGGATATATATACGTTTGAGCTGATTGCCAGGACTTACCAGTGAAATCTCTTTTCTGATGCGTTCAGCCAGATTCTGAAGCATAGTTTGTGGAGAGTCTCTAATCCCTCTCACTGTGGGGTTCAGATGTTGAAGAGAAGTCATCATCTCCATGAAACAGTTGAATTCAAATGTTGGAGCTGTTCATTTAAAACTATTGCAGTCCGAGGAGCTTTGCCAGACAGACACTGCTTCTTCCAAACTACTTTCTACCACAGACCCAAAGTGTAGGGCCCGCCCAAAGCCATTGCAGGGGGGGGGGGACAACGCTTGGACACTGCTAGCACGGGGCGCCCACACAAACGCAAAGCAGGAGATGAAGCATAGCTGAATATGTTTCCAAACCAACTTCATTCTAAG